ATCTGTCATTTATTCGAGGAAATACGCTATGAATTGAATGCTGTGGAAATTGATAGATGCAAAAATGTTGGTCTTACAACATTAATGAAAAACTACATTTCTCACAGCCCCAGTCATGGCGCTCTCATGGAAAACGCAGGCTGGAGAATTGATAAAGAGAAGAAGATAACTGATGATGCAGGATATTTTGATGTATCCATTCCCCTCAGCATGATATTAGGATTTGCTGAAGATTACCAGAGAATTGTTGTGAATGCGAAGCATGAGTTGATACTGACACGTTCACACAACGATATCAATGCCGTCATTCAGGGGGCACCTGCAGCTGGACAGCAGGCAGAGATGTTCAAAATTTCCCTCACCAAAATTGATTGGATGATTCCCTACATCAAACCTGCAGACTCTCAAAAAGTGCAACTTCTCAATCAGATTTCAAAGGACAACCTAGTGCCAATCAGTTTTCGAGCTTGGGAATTGTATGAGTATCCTCTCTTACCTAGGACACCGAAACATGTGTGGGTCGTGAAAACCTCAACACAACTGGAGAAACGTCGTTATGTCATTGTAGGCTTTCAAACAGCCCGTAAGAATCAACTGTTGAAAAATGCTAGTGAATTTGATCATTGTAACATTCGAGAGATCAAATTATTCTTGAATTCACAAAGCTATCCCTATGGAAATCTGAATCTTGTCATTGCACACAACCAGCCTGCTCTGCTCTATGACATGTACACCAGCTTCCAAACTTCGTATTACCATCAAGAGCCTGTGCCACTATTCAGCAGAGCAGAATTCTTGGAAACTGCACCTCTCATAGTCATCGATTGCTCCAAACAGAATGAGTTCTTGAAATCTGGACCTGTTGACATCCGCCTGGAGTTTGAGTCATCAGCGGACTTCCCCGACACTACAGCAGCCTACTGTTTAATCTTACACGATCGAATCGTTGAGTATAGNTTCCCCGACACTACAGCAGCCTACTGTTTAATCTTACACGATCGAATCCTTAAGTATAGTTTACTCAGCGGTAGTATGACGAAACTAATTTAATAAAAAAATGTTTTTTTTTTGGAAAAGGAATGTAATTTTTTAATGAAATAAACAGTAATTATTCTTGGAGACCAAATATCTTTTTATTTCTCATCACCTGCATTATTATTATTATTAGTGCTACATTCTGCCTTTTTTGTCAAAGAATTGAACATTATGATAACACCAAGTTTTAATTCCTGTAGAATACCAAGCATTGGTATAGCTGGACTCTTCTCCCTCAGATCTGGCCCCCTCTTCCTCTTCAATCCATTGCTCGTTGATGGACCGTCATCATTATCATCAGCATCATCATAAGAACTACTCCATCGATCTTGGACGAAATCGAGGTTCACTCTCACGACCAATTCTTCAATACACTCGAGAATCACATCCAATTTTTTTGAAATATGGCTGGACAATGGTAACACAGAATCATCAGATTCTTCTTCTTCAAGCCTTTTCCTCAAATCACAGTGATTTTGGTCCAAAGACAGGACATCTTTGATAAGACTCCAGATATTGTCAGGTGGAAGATCGGCAAAATACATCTCAACTAATTCTTCAAAATAGAGAGAGTACGGTGGCGTACTAATCAGATAACGCATATCGTCTATCGAAAGATCCTCCATGATTGCAACTAATGTGACCTCTCGAAAGTGCATAATTTATATCCTCTGACTCCCCACCCCTACTGTCCGCCGATATGATGAAAACTAGTGTAACCGAAATTTAGTTGCGGGAAACGATGAACGTTTCCTAGAAAAGCGTCTGCACTATCAACCGAAAAATTCTTTTTAGAAACAATTGATATTCCCTAGCAAAAATAATTTGATTTCAGAAATATATGTATGATCAACTTTTGACTTCTCCGGTCCATCATACGCTTATGCACTGCTCTCAGCTGATGAGGTCGACAAACTCGTACGTGTCGTCATGTAAACACCTTTACTCTAACGATCCACCAAGCGGTATCAAGGTCCATCGCGATTGTTTATACGACGCGTACGTATGATAAACATTGGGGCGCGCGACTACCCCCCCCCCTCCCCCCTCCCCCTCCCCACATGTCTGGGGCAGCATTCGGATGCTGACCCCCCACTCCCCCGTTCGCCATTCTCAGATGGTTCGTTTTGGACGTTTTGTATCCAGAAACGGCTTTACTTCACTACTAATTGTAATTACTCACTTTGAGTGGTTCTTAATTATATTTTGTGAATTCTTGAGGTAATCCACCACGTTTCTCTGCAAGCGAACGATTAGTACACTATTACAAATACTTAGGTAGAATTCCCGTCTTCCACTTGTTCGGAATTGATGAAGTTAGAATTGAATAAGTCATGAGTCTTAATTGTTTATAAAAGTTTGACCCACACCCACGATTCACCAAGTTCACCACTAATTCTCTCAGATGCAAGAAGCTGTTCTACTTTCGGTTAAAGGAACTTGTATCCCCGAACACTTGCTAATTTATGTTCCCTACTGCTATTCGAGAACACTCCGAATTTCCGAAGATAAGATCGAACACTAACAAGAACCGGACCGATTCCAACAAATACTTCCGCCAAGAAGTCGTAGTTGATTCGCGAGAGGGTTTTCGTGACTGAGGTTTGATTTTTTGGAGGGGCCTCCCCTTACTTGGGGAAAATGGAAATTTATTTGGAGTGGGGGAGGTGGCGTGATTTCCGCCTCTTTGGTTTCCTGGTTCATCGACCCGGCTCTGTTGTCGAATTTTGCAAGGTTGCGGTCTTTCGTTTTGCAAGTGTTCCCGAGGAGTGCAACGTTGTGCATTCTTCAGAGGTCGATGTCGGTTGGCATTGATTTTGAAATAGGGTGATTTGTGCATCGTTGTTGATGCGGAAGTGATTGAAATAATCTGGACATTACATCGCCTATAAAGTTAATTTCTGCGTTGAGAGCTTCTTTACCAACTGCTCGAGCTGCACTACCGAGGAAGGGCAAAATTTGACGAAAAAGGCCACCGAGGAAAGCCCCAATTCAATGGCCCCGTTGATATGGGCTCGCAACATAGACCCGTCCAAAATTATTGTATCTCTCCACTGACCCTCCACCAGCCTGGCTCGCGTAATATGCAATGTGACGACTCATTTTTCTCGTTAATGAAGTCCCTTGAAATGAAGTGTCACGTTCAAGAGTCCGTACTCGAATGGTATCATTTCACCACGATTGCACCTTATATCAATTTCAATTGTGCGATATGAGTATCTCATCAATGGAATATAATGAGGATTTGAAAAAGTAGCACAGTATGTGGCGCCATATGTATGGTACCACATTGGACCTGGGGAGAGAGAGAGAGACAACTGCGGTAAAAATTTTGAAGAAGACTCTGACGACGGCACCTATCCTCCAGTATCCGGATTTTGAGAGGACTTTTCTTTTGACGACAAATGCGTCAAAAATGACTGTAGGCGCCATTCTGTCGCAGGGGGAAATTGGCAAAGATTTGCAGATTGCCTATGCCAGTAGAATCCTAAAAACAGTGGAACAAGGTTGGAGTACTACGGAACGGGAGTTGTATGCTGTTGTTTGGGGAGTTAAGCATTTTAGGCCTCATCTATACGGCCGAAAATGCATCGTTGTCACGGACCACAGACACTTACGATGGATTTTCAACGTTAAGGACCTAGAATCGAAATTAATGCGTTGGCGCATAAAATTGGAGGAGTATGACTATGGAGTCGTTTACAAGGTCGGGAAGTTGAATACCAACGCTGATGCGCTCAGTCGTATCAACGTTGTAACCCGAGCTCAGGCGAAATCCGAGTCTACTAATCAGAGTGACGCGAAGGGGCACTCGATGGATGAAGCTGCAATAATCACTCCGGCTGAAGATGAGATAATGGGTATTCTGCAGGCATATCACGACACGCCGTTTGCGGGACATCCTGGGGCAAAGCGGATGTATGCAAAATTACGTCAGAGGTATCAATGGAAAGGAATGAAAGCGGATGTGGAGAAATTTGTGGCGACTTGTGTGGAATGCCAGCTTAATAAGATGGGAAAAGCAACAAAAGTACCAATGGTTATCGGGGAGAGTCCAGAGGAGGCGTTCGAGCAATGTGCCATGGACATTGTTGGTCCATTACCGGTCACGGAAGCTGGAAATAAATATATTCTCACGGTTCAGGACGCCTTAACGAAATTCAGCAGGGCAATTCCAATTCCGGACCAAGAGGCCAATGCCGTTGGGAAAATCGTGTGTGAATATGGGACACCACGGAAATTACTTACCAATAAAGGTCCGAAGTTTGTTGGTGAGGTTTCCAAGAACGTCTGTAAATTGCTGAAAATAAAGAAAATACAGACTACTGCGTATCATCCGCAAATGAACGGAATTGTCGAAAGAACTCATCGCACTCTTGCTGAATTTTTAAGGAGGTTCATTGTGGAGGATCAAGTTGGAGACAAAGTACTGATAAAGAACGAAGTTCTGCGGCGAGGGCGATCCAACAAGCTTTCCCAACCCTGGGGGGCGATTACGAAAGGATGCGCGCTGCTTGCGCGCGTGTGTGAGTCGGTGTGAGCGGTGTGCACACATAAAAAATGGCCGACTGTCATGACGAAAGGAACATGGACCATGGACCATAGTCTTGAAGTTGGTTTTAGATTGTTCTGACGTTAAGGGTATTATGGCGGGGTCCATAGCTGGAAAAAAAGCAGAGAATTCAATGAAAATTGCTGAACAGAGGATACGATCCATTTGAAAGCCGCGTGCAAAATATCAAGATCCCTACTTGAACAATAATAATGGGAATAATTTTTGAAGTTGCTACTTTTACACGCGGTTGACTGGGGCATCGGTAATTTTAGTGCTTTTCCTACGTTATTGATCTATCGATAACGTAGGAAATTTACAAAAATTCCCGATGCCCCATTTAACTGCGTTTATAAGTAGCAACTTCAAAAATTATTCCCATTATTATTGTTTAAGTGGGGATCTTGACATTTTGCACACGGCTTTCAAATGGATCGAATAATCTGTTCAGCAATTTTCGTTGAATTCTCTCCTTTTTTTTCAGCTATGCACCCCTCCATAATACCCTTAACAACACGTGTTTAGTGGTTAAAATGAATTAAATATAATAAAATGATGAAAAATCGATAAATAAAGTGGAGCATCGATGTGGAAGACGTTCGGAGAGTGAAAATCTTGGAGGACATCATCATCAGAGATTGAAAGCCCTATGCTCCTTGCAACGGAAATTGGACCACTTGGAGCCTGCTTATGGGAGTGAAGTGATTCGGGAGACAAGGAGTCCAGGTACCTGATGGGTGAAGTTGCCAGGGGTCGACGAGTTCCATCATTGAGGAGACTGCCAATGGAAGAAAATGCATAAAAAAAGATTCGCATGAGTATCGCTGACACACTCTCCAAGATAATCTGCATGGCTGCTGGTGAAGCTAAACCCTCGATGAACCTGTTGGAACTGGACCTGGCAATCGAGAAATCCTCTCATCTCGACGTCATCTTCATCAGGGAGTACGGGCCCGAGATATACCTAGCCATCTATGAGTCCCTCGAGCTCCCCAGCAACTTGGTTGAGAATATGGAAGTTCAATAAGAACGTGCTGCCACAGCATTTAACCATGACCTCGCATGGGCCTTGGCATTGGATAATATATCTAGTAACTGGGATTATAATTGCTTATGTTTTGTACAAAGACATCCCGAATTATTTAAATGAATTATTTTTAAATTCCCCAGATATCCCGTTCAACAATTATGGCCTTGATTGACTTCATAAACCAAGAAATTTGTCGGAGTAATCATTGGAATCGACTGAAATAAATTTTCCCATTTTTTGTCTGGTTAACAACCGTGAGAACTGATTATTATTATTACTATTACTATTCTTATTATCATTATCATTCAGTGATAATTGAGTTTTGATTGAGAATAAAGATTTAAACACCTTGAATTGAATCCATTAACCGATTGAACATGTTTTTGTTAGTTATTTCATAATAACTTGAGCTAAACAATTCCACTCGATACT